TTTGTAATAAGTAAAAATCTGTTTAAATCTCATCAATGGCCAAAAACCGCACCAAATTGACAGAGAGTATTGAGCATCATGTCACAAATTCCATTCCAGAGGATTTCAAACTACACGCCTATGGCAGGATGTTTATAAATGACGAAGGTAGAGCGATTTCATGAGATGCATTGATTGCATTTATCAAATGAGATAAAATTCCACTCATGCATCAGAACATGTGGAGGAAAAGGGTGAGGCCGCAGCAAGTACCGTGAACAAAATGGGAGCCTGAAGATGATTTCGCACCAAATCCCCTTATATTTCTAACCTATGTACTTCCAAAAAGTGGTAACCGTAATATATACTCATGTGTTTAAGTTATCCTTACAGCAAAAGGACGATTGCTCAACACCAATCCCGCAATGCATGACCACGGGAATTTTCCCTTCAAAGTAACGTCGAGATACATGAGCCTAAGAATACATTACAAGACACAGCGGTCACTTTAGCAATCAGAGTTGGATTGTTTTCTGCAAATTATTTAATGGTGGCAAATAATACCGTATTTTGAGAGGTGGCAACGATAGCTCCACAAATAACTGCACTAGACCTAGTGTGACGTAGTGGAAACTCCTAATTATGATGCATGACTTTTCTGAGTCGCAGATTCTGGCCAATTTTTGTATCATCATAAATTTCTAGTCTTACAACAAGTGATTGGGAAGGCATAAATAACCTTATTTATCATTGTGGGGTATCGAGACTTCATCCTCGAGACTTCCTTCCTTCCAGCATTAAGATGGGTCGGATACATGTATTTAACAGAGAGAAAAGTGATAAGGCCAAAAAATGTCCAGAGAATCAGTCCGTCCATGCAAAGAAAAAATGGGTACCGAAGTATCCCCCAGACATCAGGTGGTCACGTAAACTAAGCATTTCAGTAATGATCTATATCTAAACTTAAGTGGTTAAAAACTAAGTCCTTCTAGAGCACTTAAATAAAAACGCTTATAAACATTAAATGCACTTTCGATATAGGTATGGTAACCTAAGTCAAAGCCCTATAATAAACATGCATATCTTTGTCCCTTGTTATCTGTTGTGATCAAAGTACAATGCTCAATCCTCCTTATACATAATCCGCTTTTCAATTGTCATTAACAATCTTATTCCAGTTAGCGCGAATTTCGGAAATTGCGGCTTATTCGGTTTGTGCCGGGCAAAGTCATCGTGTTCTCATTTTCCTTGGAATGACTTCTCAGATAGTTGACCTTCCGAAGGGTGGATTTGTTTATGATAATTGCTACAGGTGCTCTTTTGCGTTCACATTTTCATTTGGTAGGAATGATCATCTATGTAAGATTTTGGATCTTCCTTTCAAGATGACTAAGACAGGCACAACTCTAGCTGCAGTCACATTCGACGTACGCTGATCGCTATATTTAATCGGATTTTAGGAAGGAGTTGTGCTCGGTGCGGACAAAAGGTCGACTGAGGGCTCAATAGTCGCTAATGGCTTCTGTGATAAAATCCATTATATATCTGACAACATATAGTAGAGTTTCTTTCACTTCATCAACCACTTTTGGGTAGTTGTTGTGGTGCAGGCACAGCGGCAGATACTGCACAAGTTACCAGGATGGTATCATCCCAGATTGAGCTTCACAGATTGAATACTGGTCGGAAACCGCGTGTTATTGCTGCTCTTCGTCTTCTTAAGCAGCATCTATTCAAATACCAAGTCGGTTACTATTCTCCTTTATACAATCGTCTACTCTAGGGTCATATTGGAGCAGCTTGCATATTGGGGGGTGTAGATAATTTTGGTCCTCACCTCTACGGCGTCAGTCCCCACGGGTCGAGTAGCAAGCTTCCTTACACGTCTATGGGCAGTGGCTGTTTGGCCTCCATTTCTGTCCTCGAAACTAATTATCGTCCAAATATGAAGGTAAGTAGGATCTTTCATAGTCTCTGCCCTCTAATACCTCGAAATCGACTTTTATATTTACTGGTTTACCGCTATTAGCTTTGGTAACCCTATTTTGTCCAGATTACCTGCCTTGGTCCTATCCGGAGTGCTTTATTTTAGAGGGAGGATGCGATGGAATTAGTTAGGCAGGCTATTCTTGCTGGAGTTTTCAATGACTTATACTCTGGAACTGGAGTTGACCTCTGCGTGATTACCAACAAGGGCTCGGAATTTTTTAAACTTTACGACTTACCCACTGAGAGAGGTGTTCGGTGAGTGAGACGGTACCAAATCACATTAAAAAATGCACCCAAGTTGTACAAGATATTAACTTAGCATTGCTCCATTTCAGAGCGAGGAGTTATTTGCCGAACCCAGGAACCACAAAGTTCACCAAATCAGAGGTCAAGAGAATTGAATACGAAATTGTTTCAACTCGCGTCATCAGAGACATGGAGGAGCGCGAACCCATGGTAATGTAAGACTAAATCTTTCTTGGTTAATTTCTACAATATGTTGTCATTAATGACTGTTCCTTGTAATGGCTTATTCACATGAGGGGTGATAAGCACTGTTCTACTAAGTGGGAAACCCATTAGTCTTTTGGATCGAAGGGATTTTTACACAACTGCGTTAGACGGAAATGTCTATAACATTACAGAAGGTGATATCTGCTTGTTTTTCTCCCTTATTTGGGAATAAGCACCCTCGATGAGAGAATGTTGTGCCTTCTATTGACGTTACCCGCAAACGCTTTAGAGGTGCTCGTTATAGCGCCCGAGAATGGGCTTGTTTGTGAACACTAGTTGAGTACTTGATTGGGAATCGAGAGGATTGTTTGGTATTTGTTGGCGATTTTCTTTGTCCCATACTTTGCGAGAATGTTATTAGCAGTCCAAGTAGCTCCGAATTTGAACGATTAGAGAAATTATTATGGGTCGATATCACTGAACTACTTTAAGCTTGTTTATTTTAGTAAATGCTTTGACTTAAAAAGACATCTTTAAGAGTAGAGTCAATTACTGCTAATAAATGGCTTGGCTTTGTAATAGTTCAGTTGCTCATGTCGGCACCGTGGTCTCTGAAGGCTGTTCTAGATCATAGTAAAGGTTTAAGCGGCGACGAGCCTCCTGCGCTTTAATAGCACTGGGTGTTATCACACTATCAGTAGTTGATGTATCGCCTACCATGTAAAGCTTGGAAAGTCGTGTTAAAACTGGATTTGACCTCGTAATGTTGGAACGGACATGGATTGACGCCAAAACGTCAGAGGTGGGTTATGCTACTTGCTTCTCTAGTGCCGCAAGTATGCCTCCCTTAGTAAGACTCGTTAGAAGGAAATTGGCTGACCTTTTTGTTTGTGCACGTCTGTTAATGCGAATACTGAATAATAAATTATGAGACTGTTTGGTGAAGAAATAGTTTCGAACAGATTAATCGAGAGTCCCCTTACCTCACAAAGTAGTACCAGTTGTAATATTGGAAAGACCGATCATATGGTTTCGGAGATTCACTACAGTTCATTTAGTTATGCAGCATAGTTTCCACGGTTGAGCAGAGTACAAAAATCTTCTCAGTTTCAAACATTGAAAGGGAAACAAGTGGGCATCAGACAAGCACGTCCATGCGTCAGTGCCTTAATTTGAAGTCACCCAGACCGAGATATTGCTAAAGCGCAGTGCAAGTTGAAATCTGTTTTACAAATTGACAGATGGAGATAGGCTAATTAGGCCTTTTCTAGTCCATGAGAACTCTCGTCCGCATCACGAGCAATTGGGAGCCTATTTTCTCAATGCAGCATGGAAAAACCCCGCCGTGCAAACTGAGTGACGATTCATAACCAGCCACAAATGACCTGGAAACCTGACGACTTGGTAAACGGGTCTTGCATGTGTGCCTTTCCTCTACCACTTTGTCGATACATGGCTTACCGACTGACCCGCAGTGCAGAGGAGATCCAAACAAAACGGACACGCCACTGAGTCAACCCCTCCACACTACTCACTCTTCTAAGGCACCGCATCCTGATTTTTTCACAATTAGGATTGAAAGTCCACGAAATTTCAGCATGTCCCGAATGGTACATACGTGCGCAGTGGGAGAGGATCGTGAACTTCCTCAGATATAAATAGCAAGTACGGCAGACGATTTGATGGAAATATGAGAGTCCAGACTGGTAGACAAATGGGGACTCCGTCCGCGTTCATATCAAAAACCACAAAGCAGACATCATATCTCCACATTCACCTCGAACAATCAGTTTCAAACAAAGCACACATTGCACCAAGTACCACACCTATGATCAAATTTTTGTACAGTTCCAACGATATCAGCGATCACAGTTAATAGCGGGACAGGAAAGTCATCAATGTTGCGGAGGCCTTAACACAGATGGGGTAATTATGCAAGTTCGAATGTATGTACAGAATCGCAGTCTAAAAGATACTTGATAGATCGTTCCTAGCATTTGAGGTAGTAGAAGAGCGCGAAGCAACTGATGGATATGAACCTCCGACACTGTCAGGGTGCTTGGGAGCCTCCTCGCGCTGGAAGATATCACAGAGACTAAATAAGACTCCCATGTAGGCTACCAATGAACAAGCAAGAAGTGTTATCAACGTTGTAATATGGTAACGGAGGAGGTGAGTTACTTCAAGAAATTCTGAAGGATTACCAAGACCTAAAGTACCTAGTTAATCTACCATTCAGTCATCAAGGAATAAGAAAACTCATAAAGTTAAACAAAGAAAATGAGGTTCAAATATGCCTTCCACAAGGCCTAAACAAACCTTTAATGCGGACGCAGAATCAGGGTGGGTAGCAACGGGGAAAGCACTTTGACTATGAATTTGAGGCGGAGGCTGAGACTTTGGCGAACAAACACGTGGCACTTTCATTCGCGACCGAGTATCATCGTAGACACCACTACTAACCGCCAACTGTTGACCGTTGGTCGAAAACACACCCCCGCCAGATGAGAGCATATCTTTCACATGCTGCTGCTGATGGTTTAGCACATTGTGAGATTCATGCGGTCGCTTTTCAGGTCGATTATACACCTATATAAAAGCACAGCATAGCAAGCACCACAGACAAAAGGTATAATATCGTCTATAATGCACTCGTACTAACCCTTCCTGATTCGTTCGCCCGTCGAGCCTGCATCACAGAATCTTCGCGAGCATGGTGACGATTAAAATTCATCTTTAATGTGTTCTTCACCTGATTTTTTATTTTGACATCACATGCTTGAAAAGCCTGAGTGAATTCATCCGCCATTTTTCGGATTTCTTCCAGTGTGAGTTCACGCGAAAATAGCCGGTACCACTCCCCATCCTCACTTTTGATGTCATAGTTATTCCACTTGGCAGCGACGTACAAACTAGTGGCAGCAATGGCTTCCATCGAGTGACGCAAGAGAAGGGTCGTGAAGTGAAGAATATGAGTGCACACAAAATAGCTTGTATGGGAAACTTGTTTGGGGAAATCGTTTTGACGGAGCACATTAATGAGGATCACGTGGGGATGTTTAACATCCATCTTTTGAAATCCAACAACCATTAAAATTGTGCCCTCCAGTGCATGAATGTTCTGAACAATCCGTCGAAATGTAGAAGAGGATTCGGCAGGAGCGTTCTTTTTGAACACGCTGTAAGCCACAGATATCAGCAAAGACAATTTCCTGGAAAAGTCCTCGGTTTTGCAAGCAAGATATAATGATGCTATGGAGACCATAACAGGTTTGACGGTTTCCGGGGAAAAGACTTCATAAAAATTGTGCATGTAGTAAAGAGCCGCATTGATAACCACTTGGGTTCTGAGAAGGATAATCGCACAGAGGAGACTTACGTTGGTATACGAGAACCTATTTCTTGGATCAAACATGCACATTGCTGTCGTCTGGCCAAATTCATGCTTCTACTACTAACTTCCATATCAAAAGCTATCGCCAGTTCAAAACCAGTCGCGTTGATCGAGGCACATGCAACGTGTTTAAACACAAAGTAAAATTATTTATCGCATAAGTTGATTAATTGCTTTGCGCAAACGATCATATTTAAGCATCAAGTGCATGTATTGCGTAATATGGCTGTTTCTCAATTAAAGAATTACTTTGTAGCACCTCTAGACTGCGCTCCAGGTAGAAAGCCTTATGTCGGGCCAAATACAAGTATTCTAAAAGGCAAGTAGTAAAAGATCTTGGATTGGACAAAATAAAATATCAAAGCATGTAGCCACCCATAAATATGGTCATGCAAACAAAGTGTTACAATGCCCTGCGTTTTTTTGCGACGTCCTCTGTCCCCCCCTTATTATACTTTCCGCACCACCCACCCCAAAAGTCTTTTTGTGCTGCAAGAAAACACCCATAAGCCGATTGTTCTAGTCATCAGCCGTCGAAAGACTAAGATACTGTACCTAATCTTCTCCGTAGCTTCATTTGTGTTTACATTTACGCTTTTTTGTAAACTTCTGTCGATCATCAACTGGGCTCAGAAGGAGATCGTGACGCCGATAAAAAATAGATAATTAGCAAGGAAAACATAATTAAAACAAAAATTCGCCCAGTACATCGCAGCGGTCTTGCTTCTGTTGTTAAGAGCCTGCCAGTGAAACATTCTCGATTATTCTGTTGCAAGAAATTCAAAGAGCCTTCCACTTTAAATGTAAACTACGCTCACAAGAAAGTAGTATAATGCTTTGTCAATGTGACTACCTGACGCCCGGCTGTCATTTCAGGATTTGTCTGGCTCTTGTACTCGCAGGCTGGCCTACGGGCCATGCTCGGGCTCATTTGCTATGTTCTCTTCGGAATACATGTATCCAGCTGCACTTACTGACTTCTTTCACCTTATGGCAAGTCTTGGCACTCCGCACTGGTGGCAGCGGAAAGCGAACCCGACACTTTTTTAACGACCTCCAACCTAGCACGTATCTTTTGTTTGCATGCACCTATGGTGTGGAGGCGCATTTACATCGGTGGCAGGAGAATCCATGATTCCATCACAATTAAAGGACCTTGACTGAAGTCTGCATTTGACTTCACCTTATTCCACAGAAAAGCTATTAACAAGTGAAGTGACATCGCTGTAAACCATTTGGAAAAGTTTCGTCTCGCGATCTCTCCTACAAAATCCCTGTATAGATGTTGGAAATTGCATTGCAGTTATCCCTATTTAAGGGACAGTGGCAAATCCCGTTTTACCTGTAAAATCTGTTGCAGACCCGAGTTCCACCGTCTATTCCTGAAAGCGATTGTTGGTCAATAAATGTATGCGTAACGTAACTCCAGATCCAATTGAAGCTGCTGAGGAGATTTGGCACGGTTCCTCAGTCGACTGTC